ACTGTTGGTACAGAATTTGTTTGTATTTTACTTCTGACACTAGTTCTTGTGAGTATAGTTTATTAATGGATTCCACCATCACCAACCAGCTGATGAATTTGGCTACATAGCCCATAAGACAGGCCGTTGCTTTTTCCCCCTCCAGAATCAGCCTTTAAAAATGAAAGTGCTCAGGAACCTAAAAGACTCTGCTGGAGTTTAGATATTGTCTTGGATTAACTGCAAACACAGCTACTGAGTTGTTTCACTGAACTTGAAGAGACGGCCTTTGGGTAAGCCCAGTAGTGCTTGGTACTTTTAAAGCCGCAGGCAGAAAGAGGAAAAGCCTGCTTAAAACTTGCCTGAAGCACGCTTGAAATGATCCAACTTTGCAAGACTGGACAAGGAAGAAGGTTAATGTTTCTCGAAATATTATGTAAAATTCTTCAGTCCCTTTCAACCTGGGGACAACCCTTGCAAATGTATAATGTGCGCAGTATTTGAGTGCATATGTGCTTACATAATACTGCTGCTAGTACAAAGGCACTTCTCAGAGGCACAAGACAGTTTCCCTGTGCTTCTTCAGATGGTACTGTACAAAGACCTCTGAAAACATGAAGTCTTTGGGCTGGCTTCAGGCAGGAAACAAAAACCCACAGTATTTCAGAGTCTAAGGAACAGTTATGTCTGCAGTTATCTACATTAGGAGATAATGCACCTTCTGTGGCAAAAGAGCATAAAGACACTGCCTGGGGTCAAGAATGCCTCCCATACCAATACTGAGCAAGAAAGCGGAAAAATGTAAAGGAAGTAGTCTTGATTTACAACCTACACATCTAGAATTATTTTAACTTGTCCAGTGACTTACTAGACTAGGTAGGATCTGGTTTTATTATTTTAAAAAGTTAAAAATTCTGTAAGTAGCAGCATCAGTAATTAAGTATTTTCAGTTTTACTTGTCCTTTTTTATTCAGATTGAAGTGATGCATGAAGCCAGCCAAGGAGGATCTAGCAGAGTCCTTGTGATGAGTGAAAGTGATGAGAACTTGTCAACAAGAAGGAGGTAAGGCTGTACATGTGAACCAGTATCTTTTTGTTGTTCTTAAGAGTGCAAATGACTGCATTTATAGTACATTTTATATGATTTAAGTTTACTATTTAGATATAATCAGAACCCTGAAATGCTTATAGACATACATTTATACACAGTCTATCAAGCTGGAAAAGCAAGCAAGATTTATCTTTTGTTTGGGGTTAGTGGTTTAGTTGGGGTTTCTGGTTGTGGTTTTTTTTGTGGGTTTTTTTGTTTGTTTGTTTGTTGTTTTTTTTGTTGTTGGTTTTCTTGGAAGCATTAATTACATGACATGAGAAGTCATTAGAATAAACCTTGCATGTATTTACCAAAAAAAGCCATATTAATCTCACTGTGTTCAGGATATTCATGTTTTGACTATATGCTTTTGAGAAGCTTCTCTTTTCATTAAATGCAACCAATAATCTTTTCTCCCTTTCTGCAAAGTCTTGACAAAAAGATTATTAATGATGTATTCTAAAACACCAAATAGTTAAGTCATTTAGTTTAACAGAAAGTACCAAGCAAACCCAGTTTAATTTTGTTGAACTGCACTGTTTCTAGGCCAAAGGGAACAATTAAGTAAGAACCACACCAAAAAAAACCCCACAATAAACCCGCCCTGCAACAAGCCAAAACCCACAATCCTCACTGACATAACTTCCTTTGTTCTCTTCTTCAGTATGATTTAGATAGTTTATACTTATGCCTCTCTCTCACACAGGTATACGCTGAAATTACTTGATGTAAAAGACTACATTTCTAAAAACAGTAGCTTATCTATTGTGCTAGACAAATTGCAGGCACATACAAAAATGCAACTTATTACTATCTGAATTTAATTGCACCCTATGAAAATACTATGACTGGTCTCCAAACCATCAGCTAGTTTTCAAAAGGTGCAAAGTGTGATCTGAAATAGAAGTTACTTAGATAGATACACATCTCTTGAGGAATGATTACAGGAAGAGAACATACAACTTTGGAGTTAATATTAACAAGTAAAGCTTCTAATATCTGGAGGTTTTACACAACTTTAGACATAGCAACTTGGTAAACAATTTTTTGAGCTGGTCTCTTTTCTCAAGAACACATCACCTTTTGTTCTACAAAAGGTTTGACTCAAGGCAAAATAGAAAGCAAGCAGGGGAAAGGAGGGGGGAAAGCAGTTTGAAATCCTCTAACAAGAGGGATCTCAGAATATCATTTCAGCACATCAGAGGTAAGCCTGTCAGTTACAAAGGAAGCAACCAGATATTTACCTTTGTTTTGTTGTTTTGTTCTTTAAAAGAAATGTCTGTTTATTCAAAACAAGTTTTACAAAACAATTGTCTTTTTGTGGTACAGAGCAAAGTCTAAGAATAAATATTGACTATTTTGTATAAAAATTATTAATATCAAAGGGAAACTGATGCAAACCAAACAAACAGGTAAAAAAAATAGCATTAAATATGCTGTGCAACAATGTCAAACTCAATGAGGAGTGACCATTCAGGCTGATACAGTTTTATTTGCAGAAGTAAAACCTGACAGCCCTGCACTGGAGCACCAAGACTATTGTTAGAAAAGGTTCCAGATAAAGGTTTACAAATCTTAAGTCAAAGTTTAGAACCAGAAAATAAGAAGTTTTCTAGCATCTCCATTTTTTGAAAAGGAGTGCCTTCATACTTTCTTTTTTATTCAGCAAGAAACTTCTTTTCACTGCAGGAAAGAAAAATGCATACTACAAACATCAAGGCTCTTTTAAGATTAAGAAGCAACTTAAAAGTCAAACCAGCTGTAAACTGAAGTATTTCAATGGTCAAAAGGAACTTTCACATAATGGCAAACAACATTAGTCAAATTTAAGCTACTTAAAACTTACTTCACCTTTGCCTGTGTGAATGAAAACAATAAATACCAACACATAGTTATGCTGGAAAAGAATGTAGTCTTAATAGACCATTTTAGTTGCAATACTGCATATGAAGACCCTCTTTCCATACATTGAACAGGGTGGCTTTTCTAGCAGGGCATTTTGCTGTGCAGCTTAATTTAAATGGCTCACAACAGGTCAGAGATCTGATGAAGCAGCTTTCCTTCAGTACAGAATACTACTTTTTCTATATGTGGATTTAATTCTCTATAAGCCCACAGGTTATATATATCTAGGGTTGTCTTTGGGTGGTTGTTCTTGAGTGTGGGTTTCGGTGTTTTGGGTTTTGTTTGTTTGGTGTTTTTTTTAGCACTGTAATCAATCTGTTTAGGTAAGAACAGGAGCTGGATTTGATCTTTCTGAAGCACAGCTGTTAAATTCTTCAGTCATTCCAACACTGATGATCTATCTCTGGGCTCTTTATATACCCGATATTTGGGTCCAGTTAGGATTCTTATTCTTTTCCTTCTGGAAAACCATTTATAGAAAGTTACATATTTCACTTCATTCCAATAGCTACCTACCATTCATCTGAAAGAGCAGCCTAGAGAACAGTCAGCAAGCTCAATCCTGGATTCTGTCTGTGCTAACATGTACCATTAGCTTTTCAAACCATTAAAACCTGCAGTGCATCTCCAAGAACAGTAGCGATCATTTAACAAAGTTTGCTACTTGCAGCTTAAAGCTGCCAGGTAGCTTATAGCTGTTCAATGGTAAACTCAGAAGACACAGATCAGTAATGCACACAGTGAGAAACTTCAGGCAGAAAAAAAAGGCTAGTCTTAGACCAAAAGCAAGTAGTATTGCTTCTGTAATTCATATGTTTCGAACAAAGGCTTGATAATTTGTCAGCTTTTGCATTATTGCTCTGCTGATAAACTTGACTCAGTCAAGCATTCAGAAGTAGCTCCCCACTAAAACTTGTTCCCATCAAATAAATCAGTTCACAAGCAGTATCTGACTATACCTTGTGTGTGAGCTGTGTCTACTCCAGGAACAGCTACCACAGGTTTGGCAATTAACAGCTAAAATACCTATTCTGAAAGTCCGTGAAAACACCATTAGTGAGCTATACAAGAAAAGACTGCAGACATGCTAGAGCTTTGGGTCTCTGCAATATTTATATGGCACCACAGGACAACTTATAATAGTTGATGTTTGAATATCACTTAGTTCTAGCCCAATTTACAATACACAGGTGTTCTGTTCCTCATGCAGGTGATATTACCATTGAAACATATTCAAGATACAGGGGGTTGTGCACACAAACTACCCTGACATTTTAAAGATGATCTTGTACTTAAGACTCCAGGAGAAATACTTTGGTGATTTTGATTTGTGTACTGAATTTCTGTGGATCACCATTTCCTTACCCCTTCACTGTGAAGTCAAAATTTGTGCAGAAAATACTGTCTCTCTTTGTTAGTACAAGCATGACATTTCGCCTTTTAAAGTTTTTACCAGTTTTAAATTAGCTATAAGTAACATTGTGAGGGACTTCTGCTTACTTTTTAGTACCATGAATACTGGAAAACAGAAGCATTGTTAAAAGGAAACTCATTTAGCTTATTTGCTTATTAACAATTGGACTGTTTAAATATACTGCTTCAGTTTTCAGAAGGCAGAAAGATTAGAAAACCAGCTACATGGAGTAATATTTCATTTTTATTTTTTCAAGTTCTAAAGGAAACTCCTTTGTTAAAACAACCAAGTCAGAGGGCACTCAAACACCGTTTCCCTATTTCAAAGGTTTAGGGAGCTTTGAGAGAAAGACTGTAGCAGGTCTTCACTTCTAGCACTCACTGTCAATTGTCCAGGTCTAGACTTAATTTCTGTGAAGCATTGAGAAATGGTGAATATTTGTAGTATTTTGCCTTAAACTACTGCAAGTTTCATCCATCAAGTCAATTCTACTTTCCTTGGGTTTTAAAATGTCTATCCCATTTTGTTATAGCAGACTTTTATCATATGTCTTAGTTCACATAGCTTTACTGACAAAAACATAGTTCACACAGCTTTACTGACAAAAGACTTACTGACAAGTTCAAAGTAACACATTTTCACCATGCATTTCAAAGCGTAGAAGTCAAGTCCATTACAGTTATTTAATCCAGAATTGCATCCCTTGAAGAGTGTGAAAAACCAGGCTACAATGTAAAAAGTTACAGTATAATAGGAGAGCTATTCCAGTAAGTTTCTGGATAGAATTTAGGACCATCTTCCCTCCCCACCCTGTTCACATGTGAATTTTACCTCTTTATCTTTTGAATAAACAGCTAAAAAGTCGTTGCTCTGTTTTGGCTCAGTGAATCTTCAACACAGATATTCAAGTATTAAGCAAATGCAGCTGAACAAGGGTATGTGTCCTCATAGTATAGTTTACAGAGAAGCATTATATTGACTATCCTGCAGTATATTCTACCCCAAATTCCCGAAGAGATCTTTTTAACTTTAGGATCTGTAGCCTGCTTCCATAGCTGTTGAAGATCATATACATGTCCATGAGATGTCATCATTTTATTATAAATGCAGGGATGGTATGGAGCCTTTCCTTCCCCAGAAAAAAATACATGATGTTGTGGTACAATTCCCATTTTATTGGCACAGAGACCCATGAAAACATCATCTATATAAAGACTTGTATTGAGAGTCAACGAAGCCTCATATACTTTAGCTGCTACATCATTTGATATTACATACGCAGCTCCTGCTGTGTAGTCAGGATAAGAGGGCCACTGGTACATTTCATACGGAACATAGTATTTGCTACTCTTGTCTCTTATGGGAGGGGATCCGCGATGGACACGACCAATCCAGAGATCTTGAACACCCATTTGTGCTAGACTTTGGAGATAAGCAACAAGATTTGGCATATGGATAAAGATATCATCATCTGCAGACATAATGAACCTGGCATGAGGACAGTAGGCATTCACCCAGCTAAACTGCAACAGCAATTTAAGAGTAAGATTGTGAAAAGTATCCAGGAAGTCTTGCTGAATCAAATCATTGTACTTCTGGTCTTCCAGGTGAAGTTCTCTTAGCAGCAGGTGATCTGTTGGTCGTCCCAAAGCAAAGAGAGTTTTAATGGTGGCATTAAGTTTAGAACGAACATACTTCTCATTTCCCCAAGTTTGTCTAATTGCATCTCTCCGATGACGGTTTTCAGGAGAAGTCTTCACAAACAACAGGAGAAGGACATCCTGCTTCTGACATTTCCCTCTGTGGTTGATCAAGTACTGGTAGCTTGACACTCTGTCCAAGTTATCCCTGTTGATAGACAGGCTGTCATTCACAAAATGGTAGCTATTTATGAGGTATCTGTATGAATAGGACTTCATATGGCTCACAATGTGATTATCAAATGGTCCCCAAAAAATCATGAGACACAGTATGAAGCACGTGGCAAATATCTGCAAAAAATGGCATTTTCTGACTCTTCTGGGACTAACAAACATTCTGATGCAATTTCTATAATCCTTATTCTTGTTCAGGATCAGTTTTCACAGTGCTTGTGTTTCAGTTTAAGAGCACAGTGTCACCCCTTCAAGATAAGTGTCCATTGTAAGGCATGTTGTCTTTCATTCAGCATCCTTGCAAAGCCAGCTTTGTTCGCAAGTCATCTTTGTCCAAGAATGTTTTTCTTTGACTGAAAGAATGCAGACAGTTTTGAAAGATGAGACTTGTAGATGAGTATTTTCCCTTTGGGCATCTTGAGGTGAACACCACTGTTCTGATCGGACCTTCTCATGTGTTTGTCTCCATGAAGACGAATACCTTACCAACTGTAAGGAGGTGGGAGAGGAGAAAAGTTTTAGTGAGCTGTCATTAACACATCAAATTTTGGGCTTGGTCATGGAACCGAGATGACTACTCAGACACTACCCATCACCACCCATGCCTACAAATAAGCCTGGCAGCACGTTAGAGGTTGTCAGTGACACAGAGCAGGAGGCTGTTGAAGGAGGACCTGACACAGAGGCTTCAGTTCTGCACAAGGAGCTCATTCTTAGAAAAACCCACTGCCACTAACCAACAGATGACAACTTTTTGTTTTCATTCCTCTAAGTTCGGAAGGCACACCCTACAAATGACCTAGTTTACAAGTTGTCTTTGGGTGGCCTATTTGACAGCAAGACCCACGCAGAGATGTGGGACTGCTCCTGCATTTGGGAGCCCCCACAGAGTTTCACCTCCCTCACCCCTACCGCCCACCCGGCGAGAAGGGCCCGGTCCCGAGGAGAACGGAGCCGAGCCGCGCAGCCCTCGCTCCGGCCTGGCTGCAGGCCGTGCGGCCCAGGTCGGGCAGGGCCGCCCGTTCCCCGGCTCCGCCCTGAGAGAAGGCGCGGCCCGCACGTCGTCTCGTCTCCTCTCCCGTATCGGTGCTCGCTGTCCCGGCCGTGGTAGCACCCAGGGCCCAGCGCGGCACTGCTCCCCTGCCTCGACCCCGCAGGCAGGGTTGTGGGAGTGAAGCAGCCGTGTGACTACCGCAGCCAGCAGATAGGGATTGTTTGTAACCCGAGCTGTAGTGCAGAGGTCAGTTATGCAGTAAGCTGTGCCAGACTCTTCAGGTAGGCATCCCTCTGTCACAGACACAGTTATTAAGATCAGACAGTTAACAATGCAGCACTGCCATCTCTGCTGCCAGCTAGTTCTTAGTGAAGTACCCAAAGCACAAAAAGCCACCCAAATCCAGCCTTCTCACCCCACATTTTGTAAAATTCAGTTCTTGTAGCTAGTTGTCTCTCCTATCTAATAAACAAGAACAGCCTGAAGTAGCAGCTACTTGCTCATCCTGTAAAACCCCAACAATAGAGCATGCTTCCTGTCAGGCAAGAAATGTCAGACTAGCAGCATAAAAAGAATGGCACCCCACAAGCTAAGCACTTCTAAGACAAAAACACAACCCCTGCAAAGCAAGAGAACAAAAGGTACCATTATTACATTTGAAGTCACATGCAACACGTTTTGAAATTGTTTTACCCATCTGAGGTCTTGCAACTAGATAGCATGATGAGACTGCAACAGACTATAGAGATAAGAAAACTTAGAGCAATTGTGTGGTGTAGTTATCTACCACAGGGAGAGGACTGCCTCCTCAAAATGGAAACCATGCAATGGTGCAGTTGAGGAGTGCAGATTATAGTGCACAACAGAAAAGCTGTACGGGCAGTCTGGTGAATAAAAGTCATCACTTTTTATAGTATCAGTTTAAACCCTTTTTATTTTGAAAACAGGAATTTAAACAATGCACCTCAGAGTTATCAACTCAGCAACTTTATAACACAGTGCTACTGCAAAGCTTACTCTTGCAGATGAGATGCAAACAAGCTGCAGTATTTCAGAAATCCAGACATTTGATAGCTCCTTTTGAAGGAGTGGGTCTGAAGATATCCTCACTCTCAGGAAGTTAGTGGTAAGTTCTGGTTTCCCCGTCCAACTTGTGTGCTCATTTCCAAAAACTTGTACTCTGCATGAAGTTGGCCAGTTAGCACAAATGCTGCAGCATCATCTCCCCCAGTTACATTTACAAAGTCAAAAAAAAAAAAAAGCTCAACCTTCATGATAGCTTCAAAGCAGCTGTCTGACTTTTCTGAAAATAAAGGGAGCAGGAGGAAAATCTGTTTAACCACTTGAAACAAAGTTCACCTTGGTAAACACAGGAATACACCAAAGAACTATTTTGGATTACACTTGGCTAAGGTGTTTTGGCAACAGCATGCAATTGCCCATGTCATCTGGTAAAAGCAGAAGTTAACACCACAAAGTGACAGAGGTCACTGAAGACTAGCAGTGAAACTAACCTACATGATAGTTATTGCCACTAGGTAACAATAGAAGTCCCCAGGTGGGGGGAAAGAAAGGAGGGGAAGCACACACACACACACAAAAGAAAACACCCCAAAAAACCCAACCCTTCCCCACCCCCAAAAAAACCACCCCAAAACAACAACAAAAAAAAGCTAATCAGAAAAAAACTCACCAAAAACCAACAACCACCCCCCCAATAACCAAACCATCAGAAACCCAGCTTTGATTATGGAACAGATATCAGGGACGGAAGATACACATAGACTGGGTTTTCTGCTCCGTAGCACCACAATCCCTGGAAGTCAGGGATACTGGGGAGAAAACTTAAGCTTTTGCTTGAAGAAAAAGCAAGCCATAAAGTCAACTGACTTGAAGGCTGGAACAGTCTGGTCTGTCATTTCCTTACTCTAGTTCAGGGGAATTAGATCACTCTTTAGTGGAGAGAAGTTCAGAATCCTCTTCAGAAACATACCTCTCAGTTAAAACTTTAAATTGCTATTTTATAAAGTATATATATAGATGAGCAATACTGATGAAATTTGAGGAGGCCTATACGTACCTGCCCATCTCCCTCAAAAAAAGGCTGAAGACTGGCATTGAAGGTGTCTGTGCACAGATACTCTAATTTTCAGGGGTTTTTTTTATAGCCCATTTGCAGCACACATCCTTTGTGCTTAGTCATGTCCCTTCCCTTAAGAAGGGAACAGATTGGGTCACCATAGGAGCTATTCATTGCCAGCTGATTCTCACAATTCTGAGGAAGAAAAAACCCAGCCACACCACCAAACACACCAATACATTCTCCTAGCAAGAGAAAGCATGGTGGAACAGAGATAAAAACATGTTTGATGGTCATTTTTCTGACCATAATTAAGGTGATTTGTCTCTTGGCATGCATTTGCTTGCGTATGGCTTGGAAGCTTTTAGATTCACTAAGATTGGAGAGAGAATGGGAGAACAAAGTACCCATACACAGTTTTTGTAGCTGCCTTCCTTGCCAGTAGATTTAAGATTCGCAACTGCATGAAGTCTTTCCCCAGCTGCAAGAACTGCAAGCTTTTCTTCACCCTGCAGCAATTCTACTGTTCCCTAAACAAGTTTGTTAACCTTTGGTATTTAACCTGTTGGTATTTCCATAAACATTACTTTCATTTTAGTGTAGCAAATGTTTACAATTCATTTTGTACTTTGCATTCAGCATATATTTTGGGATGAAAGTGAAGCTAGCACAGTTTGTTATGCAAACTCCAGAGTCTGTAGAGTGACCACTGCAGAAAAGCAGTCTTTCAGGGAGCTACTCCCAATGCTCACAGCAGTCAATATTTGAAAAAAAAAATCAGTTTTAAGTTAACTTCAGGGTAGAAGTAAAATAGTTTTGGAAAGTCCACTGAGGAGAGGCAGAAAACAGAGGCACTAAAGAAACTTAAGGACACTTCAAATGTGAAAAACCAGAAACAGACCCTTGTGGGAAGAACCGTGGAGAGGGAATAAAAAGACACTCCAACATGGAGATTTTTTCCAACTACCACCACTCTGATAAAACCTAAACCTGAGAGGGACCAACTAAGATTGACCAGAGAGAACACACTAACTCTCTGCTCCAGATTTTCTCATGTGGTACGATACACAGGCTGAGCTTCAATTAATTTGTAATAGAGTTTATATATATATATATATTTCATTCCTTCTGCCTCAGACAGAAGATAAGTTTAGATCACAAGCAGCTTTCCCAGGCAGTGCAGGATATTCCAGGAAACACTATTTTAAATAGAACCAGTTTATCCTATCAGCTTGTAGCAACCATCCCTTTCATACCAATCACTCTTAGATAAAGAAAGCTCAGAAGATACACAAGAAGGAACACCTCAAACATTGCCTAGTTTCAAACACCAGTAATCTAAAGAACTGCTGAATCTCTTGTGTCTATATCTTGTTGGCTGTATCAAACAACCACTTAGTTTAAGGGTGCAATTCTATGTGATTGTTAAGATCAATCAGAAGCTTACTGCTGTCAGTTTGGATCTCTCTGTTTTCCCAGCCCTGCCCTCTCATCCTCACCGCACTGACCTTTTACAGCTTGCAATGGCTCCGGAGCTTATGTGGTTGCTCAACCAGCCAATCAACAGCTCATCACAACCTCTTCCCTTCAAAAGCAGCTTGCTGAAACCCTGAAGTATCAGAATTGATACTTGGTTGATTCAGGTCAAGCTGTATCTAGAGCCTAACCTAAGTGCACAACAGGGCTCAAGGATTTCCTTTGTAGAACCAGATGTAATACACATTGTTTCTAAAGCTTTTGGTCTTTTAGGTTCTTAGGCTAACAGGCTGTGTATTACTACAGAAAATCTGAAGCCTTAGGACAGGCTTTTGGGCTAAAGTTAGGATATTCCTGTCACATGAGCTACTCCAGATCAGCTTGTTTGATAGTGGAGTGGGATGTCCAGGTAAGAAGGCACATTGCAGAGATGCTCTATCTTGCTGCAAGACTTCAGATGTCACATGAACCTAAGCTGCAATACCACTTCTACAGCATTAATGAAATGTGCCCACAGAGGTGACAGAGAAGCAGACACACTTCAGTTAAAGCTGCAGGAATGAAGATTAACCCTACCTGGATTTAAATTCAGACAGTTGTGTCAAGCCTCATGTAACAAAGAAGCAATCCTGAAAAGAGCAGGTTGGATTTTCCTGAAGCTTTGAAAATCCATTTAGAAAGGAGCTACAGGGTTCAAAGAATGCATGTTTTGGCACATTTGAGAGTTTTGTTTAAGTAGAGCTTAATTTTATTTTTTTTTTTTTGCTATGTTCGATTTCTGAGCAATTTAAACAGTTACAATTCCTATGAAATGAAACTCTGAATCTCCAGCAGTACTGATTTATGTACTGCTTCCACATCAAAAGACCAAAGGAAATCTAGTCCAGTTAGCACATCAAATAAGCTATCAAAACACAAAATTACATGTTTATCAAGATTTTCTCTTCCAACTAACTAATTAAAGTGTAAGAAAGTATGTGCCTAAGTTAATAGGAGCAAAGCCTGAACGGACATTGCTGCTTATAGCTTTAGCTACAAGATTATGAAACTCAGGCTCTTCTGACCATTTTCCCATTGCTGACATATGCCTTCATAAATCATGCTGTCATCTCTATCCTGGCCTGTGTCCTCTTCCTGAACTCCCCAGTATCTGAAGAAGCTTAATGTATAATAAGTTGATTTGAAACTAATCTTCAGGTTCCTCTTGTACATGAGCTGTCTCACAAGAGACCTGAGCAGAACACTGAGCAAGTTACACCCCCGACACTTCTAGGATTTCCTGTCATAGTGACAGAAGTTACTTTTAGGGAAAAAAGGGTACTTAGCCAACTAAGCCTTCATTCATAGTTTGCAAACACCAAGATGGAAAGAAAGCACAAGCACAGAG